GTATGTCTTAGGTTAGGATGGACAGTGTCAAGTGAATAGAGTAACCTGTATGTCTAGGTTAGGATGGACAGTGTCAGTGAATGAGATAACCTGTATGTCTAGGTTAGGATGGACAGTGTCAGTGAATGAGAGTAACCTGTATGTCTAGGTTAGAATGGACAGTGTCAGTGAATGAAAGTAACCTGTATGTCTAGGTTAGGATGGACAGTGTCAGTGAATGAAAGTATAACTTGTATGTCTAGGTTAGGATGGACAGTGTCAGTGAATGATAATAACCTGTATGTCTAGGTTAGGATGGACAGTGTCAGTGAATGAAAGTAACCTGTATGTCTAGTTTAGGATGGACAGTGTCAGTGAATGAAGTAACCTGTATGTCTAGGTTAGAATGGACAGTGTCAGTGAATGAAAGTAACCTGTATGTCTAGGTTAGGATGGACAGTGTCAGTGAATGAGAGTAACCTGTATGTCTAGGTTAGAATGGACAGTGTCAGTGAATGAGAGTAACCTGTATGTCTAGGTTAGGATGGACAGTGTCAGTGAATGAAAGTAACGTGTATGTCTCAGTGTACAAATAAGTTATATTCAAATTTGAAGAAAATATATTGAAAGTATGTCTTCGTATCTCATAGAGCCTCATTTTAGTAAGCATACAGAAGGAAAGAAGACCAAGCTTGCTGCCATTATCATACCAACCTTAGTTGTGATAGCTCTGCTGTCAGCTGCGTTGGTTGTTTTCATTGTGAGACATCAAAGATTACAGCGAAGTTTCACACAGTTTGCCAATAGTCATTATGATAGTAGATCTGGAACAACAACATTCTCTGGTGTGGATGGCGATAATGCTCTTGGTAAGTGTTTCTTTTATTCATAGGCCTTGAAATCAAAATTATATTACAAGCCCTATTCCTTTTTAGCATGATCTTGGCACACACTTGGCTGCCTTAGATGTTAATTAGAATGAGAATTGTCTTTGCCCTCTAAATAATGTTTCATACTCTGCTGTCGTCACGCCAACTGTTCTTTTGGGTCTATATAACCATAGTAATTTAAACAGTGAATGGTGATGATAGGAGACAATGAGTCACCATTTGAGGCCATGGCAGCTTACTAAAATTAATCACCCTGTTTAAAATGCTGCAGAATTTTCCAGAAAAATTAATAAAAACGTTGCTTCTCACGAAATTGAATTAAATTATTTTATTATTTTTTCTCCTAGGTGAGGAAGAAGATTCCCCAATGATACGCGGATTCTCTGATGATGAACCATTGGTGGTTGCCTAGGAAACTATTTACAATTCTTTTTACGATTCGTATCTAGGCACGTACAAGTATGAGTAACTTGAACCAAATATCTCAGACCAATTTATTTACATACATTGCTAGCTGGATTTAACTGATTTAAAACAGGCTTCACCAGTTGTAACTAGTCTTCACCAAATGTGACAAGTATTCCAAATAGATAAATAGTATTTACCAGCCATGCATATTCAGTATTCATGTAACATAACTGGTATTTACCAAACATTACTTGTATCATCTAACATAACTGGTCTTTACCAAAGATAACTAGTAGTCGTCAAAAATAACTAGAATTCACCAGATACCAGTAATGTACTATGATGTATGCAAGTCTTGATGAATAGACTTGACTTGTAAACACAAGCACAAAACATTAACAAAAACCATTTTTCAAGCTGTTTGAAGTGTTTATTCATAGTAACCCATTTTTTCCAGTCCAGCTTAGGAATACAAAATAACTATTATAAACTAGTGATGGTCCTTTGATCTTGAGTAATCAGAAAAAATGATTACTCTCTGTTGTCATGACATATTTTTATAAACCAAAACTTCACTAGGATGCTGACAAGTGTCTCGTATAATTGTGTTAATACTGGCGATGATATAAAAAAAGGTATAAGGGAAACAAAAAATACAAATTGATGTAAAAGAAAGTAACAGTTTTTGGTATTCAGTTTTTCTCTTGACCATCTTTACTAGATGTGTTTTGAATTTCATTTTTATCAAAAAAGAATTATTCAATTAATTTCTCTCAAAATATGACAAGTTAACCCATTGAAAGTAACCTGCAACCCCTGCATTTTTGTGAATAAACCACAGGGCAGTGGCCTTTAGAATAAACCATTTTGAATCTGATGTACATATAGGGGTTGTAGGTTGGTTCTGATGGGATTGGTTGCTAATACTGTATATTGTTTATAAAGGCAACCTTGACTATGTCAATTGCAGTATGTTTATTTGGACGGAACCATTTTGTTCCAGGGGTGTACTGTTTATCATTTTGGGTCAGCTGATTTGCACTGAGCCAATCATAATGTAGATAGATGGGTGATTCTATTTGAGAGGTAAAGTAGGTATATTTTGGATAAAAGTCTATATGGGTGGGGAAGAATGTTCATTTTTATTTGCTTTATTTTTACATTATATGTATGTATATATACACAGATTTGCTGAAGCTCTTGTGTGTAGCCTCTTTTTACCAGATTGCTTAAGATTGAGATGATTAGAATCAACTCTTGGAAAATGTGCAATGTTGAACTATTGTTTGAAAGTTTATATTTTGCTAATGCTGTCTGACCTCTGACCTCTGATCCGAGTTCTTACACTATACAAACTGATTAGATGTAGATGATAATTTGGATTTCTGTTTCATTAATTAAGGGTTAATCTTATTAAAGTTTCTAAATACTGGTAGCTGTCCACTTGCCTTGCCTTGCCTTGCCATTGAAGACTGCCCTTTTGCTATCTCCATATGCCTGTCTTAGTCGCATGCTATGCATAATGGCCGCTGGAAATGTGTCTTAAAACAAATTGCATGTTTTGTGCCAGTATCACACATTCCTGGCATTTCTTTGGCCCAGTCCGCGTTTTTTATTTATTTTTATCCCACAACCCAGATTACACGATAAAAAACTAATCTCTTTGGATTTAAAACGTTTCTGCACTACTGGTTTTTTAAGTATATTCAGAAAATATTAGATTAATGTGAAAATAGGCGCCTCCTATGATAAAGAGTAGACATAATTGAAAGCGGGAGGGTCGTCACCTGCGCACGTGTGGGAATTGAGTCCCAAGCGATGATAACAACAACAAAACTAGAGTCTGATGATTAGTTTTGATAACACTTGACTCACTTAACAGGAATACCATATGTGTGTGACAGAGACGCACCAGATAATAAGCATTGCTTGTTTTGATAAATTCTTACAAGACGAAGACAAATTCTGAAAAATAAAAAGCCCAGACTGGAAGCGCTGAAATTACTGAATCATGTACACATTCTTTCCATATATGGTGTTGGCATAGATTAGCATACATTTGGACAGTGGCAAGATCTAGTCAATATTTAGTACTGACTTCATTGTTGGTTGAAGTGTCTGCTTTTCTGCTTGCCTGCTGAAATAGACTTAGAGGCTGTATTACTTTTTCTGTATTTTTGAACTATTTGCAAAACTTTAATTTTCTATGTTACCAGTAATTTTTAAGATTTCTAACATTTATTGATCCCATCATATTTTATGCTGTCATCAGTCATAACAAATTTTATAATTATTAATACCAATTGTATATCGCAGAATACACAACATACACGGTTGACTATGCAGTCTGGGGTTCAGAAAAGACAGCATTGTGAAGTGGTTACATCACAAACACTTGCATTATAACATGATAGAAGGTTAGCTCGAAATTCTTACACAAAACAAATTTCGGTGAATAACATTGTCACAAATCATTACAAAGAGTAAGCATTGTTACTGAACATTAAACCGTTTTCAGAAACCCATGGAACCTGAACAGCAGAGATCTGTTCCTTTCAAGTTTAGCTCTCCAGTTTCAGTCAAATTGTTTTTTGGCAATTTTAAGTCGCTACATTAAATATGTTACTATGTATATTACAGTAATAATTTTATGCGACAATTAATTATTGTAAGACAGTCCATGTGTTGGGGAAATTTCATCCAAGACATGTCATACAAAATGCACAAACTGGAAAACGTGTGAATTTTTTTTTGCAGTCAGGTTTTACAATGCATTAACCAGGTGTACCCTATCACTTGAGTGTACGGTAACTATAAACATTGAATACCGTGTAACAAGTATATAGGTATTGTGTAATGTACATTATTTAACCAGGATAAAACTGTGTGTGTTTATTTTCCAAGTTTTTTTACAAGATAAGTACAGAGCGTTTGTTTTGAACAGACTGTATACATCTCGCAGTGGAACTCTTAGTTCACCAATCTGTCAAATCATTTATCTTTTTTTCTGTAATAAAATCATGAACTTTATAAACTTATTCACTGTGTATTGTGATAGGTGATGAAAAAATTACTACTTTATCGTTGCAGGATTGTCATGATTTATGCAGATAGATTAACATGTTCTACTGGGTATACTGTAATACCATTTTGTAATGATAGAAATGTAGTGTTTCCGCTTAAAAAGTTGCAAGGAAAGTCAGAAAAACTGCAAAGAAAGTCAGGGGGGGGGGAATAAGTTGTCTACAGATTTCAAATGTTGTAAAAGGCTGGTTGGTAAGTCTGTCTTGCTAGTGTAACTTGTAGTATAGAAGGACTGAAAGTTGGCGTGAATATTTCATGGAAAATTCCATGATGAAGTCAAAAAAGGTGTCTGTAAAGTCAGTAATTTGTATGAAAACTGAGAGAAAAGTTCTTCTATATACATACCGGTATATTTGGTGATCTTAGAAATCATTTTAATGGAGCTTCATATGTGATACATAACAAGTTAATGAAGGGAAAAAGGTCAGGCATTACAATGTGTATTAATATGTTAATGTGAAATAGAAATAATTGTCTAGAAAGTTTTCATAAAAGTGAAACGCAATGACTGCAATTTGTGTGGAAAGCAAAAAAAAATTTAACTGGAAATTTTAGAAAATTGTTGAAACATTGAATTGGAAAATGTTGCATATCTAGTCAGAATAGATGCTGGGAAGAATGACAATCTGCTGATAAGTCTGAAACATCGTCTTGAAACATGTTGATGAACGTCAAGAAAACTTGTTGTTTTTATAGATCAAAGTTGAAATGCATTTCATGAAACTTGTCTTGAATATGCAAAGTACTGTCTGAAAAGTTCTCAGTTTACTCAGAAACATTGTCTGTAGCATGTCAGAACAATTGTCTGTAAAGTCATGACAACTTTAAAAAAAGTCAAAACTCTGTCAAAAGTTGAAAAGTGGTGTAAAACCAGAAAAATTAAATGGAAATTAAAAAAAAAAAATTGTCTGCAAAGTAAAGGAAACTTCATAAAAGTTTAAAACATTGCAATATACGGGTACCTTGGCCGGGAAGTCAGAGACTTGTCTGAAAAAGGTGTATTGAAAGTGCAGATGATTGAAAAGTATGAAAGGCATAATATATGCCGAGAAATTCTGTAACTAGTGGGATAGCAGGACAATCTTGTCCAGAAAAGTTGTTTGAATTTTCGGAAGACTTGTCTATAGTATTGGTAATGTTGATGGAAAGTGCGAAAATAAACTTGCATGTTAAGTTAGAATAGAATTTAGAAAGTACGAGTGAAAAGTCAGAATATTTACATTTAAAGTCACAATAGTTTTCTATTGTTGTCTACGAAAATTGTTGCATAGAGTCTATAGCATTGCATAGAGAGACGGTAAAACTTAAATAGAAATTCAAATGGTTGACTCGAAGTCTAACACTTCTCAGAAAGTCAGTAAACCTGAATAGAACATCGAGAAATTTGTCTAACAAGTCAGAAATAGACAGAAATAGGAAAATCGTAAAGTAAAGGCTGTATCAAAAGTCGTAAAAATGCCTCGAAAGACAGAGTGGGAAAAAAGTGACAGAAAATGTCCTGGAAAGTTAGAAAAACAACATGAAACGTCAGAAAAATTGGGAAAAATATATTGTAGTGTTTTTCAAATCATCTGTTTAGGGCTTACTTTATGGCTTAATAGCATAGTATTTCTATATGAGTTCTTCATTTGAAAAAAAACTGCCGTACTAAAACACGAATAACCAATTGTCGCAGAAATGTGTGAATCTTTGCAACAACAAACATCCCACTTATATTTGGAACCGCATCATTCAATATGACATCATTAGGCATATAGTTAGTGTATCAGTTATACAGTATGGATCAACACTTTGTTGTGAAGTAATGCCATCTCATTGGTAGATATAACGCATACACATGGCATAACAATATTAGTGTCGTTATCCACAAATAATCTCCTCGTGTATGTAACAAATCAATTGATCATAGATATTATATAGTTGTCATTTGTTTTTATTAAAATAAGAATTAATAATAGGTTTACATGTTTCAGTACCACGCGGTCTTTACACACAGTGACTCCAGTCTCGTTCGTTCTGCGAACGAGTCCAATCGAAGGTAATGGGACAAAATTCCACATGCACTGAATTAATTATGACGTCGAGACCTCAGTAGAAGTATAATAAATGCAACCAGTCTATATCCAATCATCAACAGGAACAGACTTGTTATGTTGATGTTGAAGTTATCCTGAAATTGAAACAAAAGTTATGTTTTAAATATAGATAGGTTGGTTGGTCTGTTCTTAGACTCTACGAAAAGTGTGCAACTGTGACGTACTCTTTGATGTGACGTCAATCTCACAGATATATACAAAGATAATGTTCAAAACTTTAGTTGACAAATAATCACGTTGAAATACGCAACTTAAATTTTGATAAGTGATATCAAGTTGCTTCGGCAGGGGAAGCGTTGTCAAGATCAGCACGCCCATATATTACTAATTGAACACATGAACCGTAGCAGACATCGCACCACAGTCATTATGCAGTGCCACAGTCATTACGCAGCACCTAGATCATTACGCAGCGCTAAGTCGTTACCCAGTGTCACAGTCGTTACGCAGCGCCACAGTCGTTACGCAGCGCCACAGCCGTTACGCAGCGC